AAAGAATCTTAGGAAAATTTATTCATTCTAAAGAAGCAATTTTTATATTTTGTGTACTCCTGTTCATGCTGCAGAAGCATAGATTGGGTGGGTTAGATATGATTTATTTGGTGTTTTTTTATTATTTTTTTTATTGGAAAGGCGGATATACAGAGAGGAGAGACAGAGAGGAAGATCTTTCGCCCAATGATTCACTCCCTAAGTGAGCCGCAACGGCCCATGCTATGCCGATCCGAAGCCAAGAGACTCTTCCAGGTCTCCCACGCGGGTGCAGGTTCCCAAAGCTTTGGGCCGTCCTCGACTGCTTTCCCAGGCCACAGGCAGGGAGTTGGAAGGGAAGCTGGGTTGCCGGGATAGAACCAGCGCCCATATGGGATCCCGGGCGTGCAAGGTGAGGACCTTAACCACTTGCGCCACCACGCCGGGCCCCTATTTGGTGTTTTTGTATTTGTGTTTTTCTTGTTAGATCTGTTTTTAATATTTTAACATTTCTTTGTATTAAAAAAACTCCCGACAGTTCATTGTTGCAGTTTTTGAAGGCAAGATGTGAGGTGAAAGAGGATGATCTTAGGCATAGACCTACAGACATTGCTGATAAGGTTAGTGGTTGAGAAGTATGGTCTTTAAGTTCCTTTAATACACCAGTACAACAGAGGACACGAAGAAATTCTGTACAATGAAAGCTACCTCTCCAGGGTTTTGCATGGACTCTTCTCTCACGCCAACATGCCTTACCTGGTGCATTAGACTCTGAAATTTAGTAACTGTCCCAACAGTTGTAAATCACAGCCATTTGACAAGTAAGGATGTTGGTTATTTTGAATGCATTCTGGAATATTAAAAGTGTAAAGCTATTGTTCAAAAACATTCAAAGATTTAGCAAGCAAGTTATTTATTAGCAGAACTTGTCCCAGAGAAGAAATGCACATGTTCGGTGAAAATGTAATATCAACATGGAAACAGTAGGGTGGTGCTCTGCATGGTAGCCTAGCAGCTAAAGTCCTTGCCTTGCATCCCTGAGATCCCATATGGGTGCTGGTTCTATTCCTAGCAGTCGCACTTCCCATCTAGTTCCCTGCCTGTGGCCTGGGAAAGCAGTGGAGGACCGCCCAGTCTTGAGTTCCTGCACCCAAGCGAAAGAACTGGAGGAAGCTACTGGCTCCTGGCTTTGGATTGGCTCTGGATGTTGCAGCCACTTGGGGAGTGAATCAGCGGATGGAAGATCTTCCTCTCTATATATCTGACTTTCCAGTTAAAAAAGAAAAACAAACAAAACAGTAGGGTAATACACAGCATTAAAAAATTGAAGCCTTTACTTCAGTTTAACAGGTTTACTTACCATATATCATATTATGTTCAAGAGCTTTGGTTAACTGGAACGCAGCATCTTCTCTGTCTACTGATTGAGTGAATATTTGCCATACTGTAGCATTTGTATGATTTGTGAATGATGACATTTAAAAATTTTTGAAGGCTTTTTCTATTGCTGGGCAGAGGCCAATGTATATTTCATATGTATCTCATCTGAAAACCAAGGGTCATCCTGGTGCACCATCAGTGGTTGACTGTGACAAATTTTACCCTCAGTTTAATGACAAGAATTGCTGATGTTAGAGCATACTGCGCTTTCCAGAGAGTTGTTGATATTAAGAACTTGGGAGATGAAATGAAAGACATTCTAAAATTGCTAGAAAAAAATGGTGAACTCCACCAAAGACCTACTTATGCAAAAATGTTGAACAAACAAACCCAAAACTAAACCTGGTCAAAGAAGAGACATAAATCCCCTCCTCCATGCAAAAACCTAGTGATTTACCAGGGGCAGACTTCTTGACTGTTTCATTCTAAATGCAAGCTGTCCTGTACTTAGAATAATTGTAGGCCACACTTTGCTAAACACTGTAAAAACAAGAATGGCTACAGAAACCTAGCCAACTTAGCATACATTTTTATCAGTGATTAAGCAATCCAGAAAGTTAAAAATCCCAGAAAGAAGCTGTTTGTTAAAGTGACAATTTTATATTTGACAAGAAACTGAGTCTAGAAAACTCACATCAGTAGTTACAAAGAGAAAAATTGAAATGTTTCTGCAGCAGGCCTGAGAACAAATAATACAAAAGATCTCAAATCCACCTGGGAAAATGACCATGCCCAATTGAATAGCGTGTCCTCTTATTTTCCCAGCACTATTGCACGACTGATTGAGAAGCTCCTGGAAATCTGCTTAACCTGAGACTGTCTCAGAAAGCAGAGGAAGTATTCAGCCATAGCTGGCAGATCTGAATTTCTGTGAAATAAGAGTATCTTTCAACTTAATGCTCTTGTTCACCATTAGTATTCTCTGAATTTTTTGCTTTTTTTCAAGAACTCCTGATAAAACCACTACAAAAGGCTGACAGAGGCAAACACAAACCAAGTCTGCAAGCTGTTATCCAGATTGAGAATATGAAAGGGCTTTTGGAGATGGATTTGTTCTGAAACTTTAAAAGGCTAGGCAATGACGTGAATGTTAAGGTCCTGCACAGGTGGTTGTGATAATTCAAGACAGAATAGGGACCTCATTTTCTGTCCTACCTTAATTGTACTGATAGGTAAACCATGCTAGAAGGGATTGGGAGGGGCAAGGAGAACAGGCAGCACCTTGCTAATGTGGATGGGGCAGGAGCTTCTTTAAGTATCTCCAGATAGGTAAAATGTTAACTTTTCAAGAGAATAAAATGTTATTGAAACGATGATAGACGTTATTAGCATCATGTGGAAGAACAGGGAAAAAAGGGTCTTAGTGCCTTCATCAGCTGATTTGCTATAAGACAAGGACACTTTTATTTTGATAGTGCAGGACAAAGGGACTGGGGATAAAATTGGACATACACCTACCCAGAGTACAACTTTATGGAACTGGGTGAAGCTGCTAGTGCATAGAGCAATTTTGACGTTATAGTTTGTTTTTATTTGATTTGTATTTATTTGGTAAAACCTGAGTGTAACACAAGGTCAAGCTACTCCCCCAGTAACACAATATTGTGTTTTGTTGGAATCTGAATTCGTTCATTGATTTTTCTCAGCTTTGTCAACTATTTTCACTGACATCTGAGTATTTATAAATGACCAGAATCCAGGGTAGGAATTGATTGAGGCTTTTGGGGTGGGGGGCGGGAGTGAGGTGCGGGAAATTGCTGTTCAGCATTTTATTTTTAAGATAGGTATGTTTGTTGACAAAACAATGTTATTTTTTAGTTAACTATCTCGCTGTATATAGTATACACTTAAACTTGTTCTTTAAACATGTTTTTCTTGGGTTAACTATGATTTTCAAATGCTATTTTGGCATGTATTTTGGATTTGCTGTGGCCAGATATTCAACTTTTTTTTGTAACTCCTGATATTTTCAGAAAAAGCAAAATAAATTTGTTCCCCCCCCAAAATATTCTGGATCATCAATGGCAATGGACAACAAAAACTATGAAAAGCAAAACAATAATGGGAGGCAGGATAGTGGGAAGCAATTTGGACTTTTTTCTGGAATTCCCAAAAAAGGCAAATTTCTTTTAAATGTTGTGTTCTACAGAGAATGGGTATTTTTTTGCTCAGAGCATGTTTGATTGCTCTTAAAGGGACTGCAAAAGACAAAGGTGCCTCAGCTTCAGAAGCAATATGAAGCACAGCATCTATGAAATGTATCCCGACCAATGAAAACAGACAGGGAAAATGTAAAATCAAAGTTCAATGAGATTCACATCTAAAATAACTTTATTGGGGGGGCAAGAACTGTAGCACCGAAAGTTTAGCAAGCCTTTTGGAGGTGCACATCCTGTACTGGAGTACCAGTTGAAGCCCTGGCTACTCTGGTTTTGTTTTTTTTTTAAGCTCTATTTATTAGTTTTAATTGTTATTAACATTGTATTATGTGATACAGTTTTATAGGCACTGGGATTTCCCCCACCCCTCCTACACCCCTCCCCACATAGTGGATTCCTCCACCTTGCTGCATAACCACAGTTCAAATTCAGTTGAGATTCCTTCATTGCAATCATATACCTAGCATAAAGTCCAGCATCTTATTGTCCAGATAAGATCAGTGGCTTCTTGGAGAGACCTTCTCTGGTCTGAGGGTAGAGCTAACAGAGTAAAGTTCCGGTCAGTTAAAAGCCCCAACAAAATATCAGCATCAATATACAATGCTATGGAATTAATTGACATAGTATTGAGTAAACAATATGTTAAAAATAATGCAAGTTCAATTCTTCAAAACACATACTCTGGTTTTAAACTGACTTCCTGCTAATACATTCTGGAAAGCAGCAAGAAGATGGTTCAAATTCTTGGGACTCTGTCATCCATGTGGAAGGCTTAACCATTGTAACCATTTCAGTATAAAACCAAGAGATGGGAAGTTTCTCTCTCTCTCTCTCTCTCTCTCTCTCTCTCTCTCTCTCGGCTCTCTCATCTTTCTCTTCTGCATTTCAAGTAAATGGAAACACTTAAAAGTAAAATAAATTCATCTGAAACAACAGTAAACTAAACGTGTCTTCCTATTTCTTCTCTAGCCTGAAATCCTCACCAAATAATTCAGAAACTCAAATTTTCTCAGGGGAAAACCAACAGGATAGAAAAACTACATAAGCCAGGATTGCAACAGGGTGTAGCTGGGGTGTACCCACAGCAGCGGTCAGATGCAATTCTACTTTGGTTCCTTCACTAAGTTTTGAGAATAGCTAACTGCAGGTATCTGCTTCTGTAAACACAATTGTTAGCTGATTGACTTAATCAGGAGGTCTGAACTTATGTTCACTGAATCCACCAGTGTTGAATGGATGCTTTGTAATGTGCACTGCTTAAGCTGACTGAATGATTTGTGATAGGCACCAACTAAATTGATTGGATGATCAATGTGTGTCAATGTGAGCTTAAAAACTCCTGACAACAGGGCCTGAAGCAATGGCTCAATGGTTAAATCCTTGTCTTGCAAACACCAGAATCCTATATGGGCTCCAGTTCATGTCCTAACTGCTCTACTTTCCAACAGCTCCCAGTTTGTGGCCTGGGAAAGCAGTATAGGATAGCCCTAAACCATGGGGCCCTGCATCTGTGTTGGATACCTGGAAGAAGCTCCTTGCTCCTGATTACATATTGGCTCAACTCTGCCATTGTAGCTACTTAAGAAGTGAATCAGAGGATGGAAGATTTTTCTTTCTGTCTCATCCTCTCCCCATAAATATGATCTGCTTTTTCAACAAAAATAAATAAATCTTGTTGTTAAAGCCTCCTGACAATAGCCATTTAGGGGGATGCTCCCCTGTTTCACTTATGGTGGTTCAGTGTAGTACACTAGCTGTCTGGCTGGTGAACAAGGACTCCAGAGCTTCTAAAAGTCAGCCTCCAACTCATTTTTGGAATAGTATTAACCAGCTCAAATCAAGGGATCTAAACAATTTTTCTTAAGACAGAAAACAAATGCAGGTTTGACAATGATTTCACATATAAAATAAGTAATGAGATTACTGTTCTGCCCAAGAGGACACTCTGAAGAAGCAAGGCAATTTGTAGCAACAACTGGGCCATTGCTCAGGATTTTGAGTGTCAGAACACTACAACTGGGAGTGAGGCATAAGGCTAGGAAGGAGATATTAGTGGACACTGTTTGTGATACAATGAGACCCAATAAGCTCTCCCAGAGACCCCTGACAATTTGGTGTTATCACCCCGCTATCCCACCCCTGGCATTACCATCTCATGGAAAGATACTCTGGAAATGACTGAAGTCTCTAAAATTGAAGCCACTGGGAATAAATAGGGGATATGAAGGTGGGAACACGAAAATGACCACAGGCCTGGTCAGTGAAATGTTATGGTGAATAGCAGTCCCCAGCCCCCTTTCTCCTTCCTACTTACAGACATGGGAATTCATCAGAACATTTCCTTAGACACAATCAAATTGTTTCAAAGAAAAGCACCCAAATCTGCAATTACCTAAGCAAGGATTGATTCTCCTCAGAATACTCTGCTTTAGCAAGCATGTTTCAGGCCATTTGTGCTACTCTCAGAAAATATCTCAGCTTGGCAATCTACAGATAACAGTTATGTGCTCAATTCTGGGGCTGGGAAGTCCAAGACCAATTTGCTGGCAGTTTCAGTTATCTGGCGGAAGTGGTTCTCTGTTTCCCAGATGGACCTTGTTCCTGCATCTTCTGGGAGAAGAGAAAAGTTATGTTCTGCCATAAGAGAAGGCAGAAGGGCAAACAAGCTGAACCATGTATGGAATGAACCTCTTTTAGAAAAACTTTCATCTCATTTATAAAGAAATAATGTCTATGACCTAATCACCTTTAAATGGTCTTATCCCTTTAACACATATCACACCTGAATTTTAGAGGACACAGTGAAGCCATGGTAAAGTCATCAGCAGACACACTCCTCTGACAGCCAGCCTTCAACTAGCTTTCTACTGCCTCACTCTCAATAATGAATAGCTGGCCAGGAATCAGAGTGGAATGAAGGGGAGGTAGGGGTGATAGAAAGCAGAAATCCAGAGGAAATAGATACCATGTAGGTTATAAGGAAGTATCAGAAAAAGAAAATGCCTATGATTAATGTTCTTCAAGAAATGAGTTCATATCAATAACGAAGAAAAAAACAATGGGAGAAAGGAAGTTGTTAGAAATTAACAGCTTGAGCCAACAATTATTAGCCTAGTGATTAAAAGGTCAGTATCGCACTTCCAAATGTCCAAGTATAAAGCTCTGGCACCTGATTTTGGCTTCTATCAGTGCAGATCCTGTGAGGCAGCAGGCAATAACTCCAGTAACTGGGTCTCTGTCAGTCACCCGGAAGACCTGAGTTGCATTCCCAATTCCTGGCTCCATCCTAGCCCCAACATAACAGCAAATGTTTGAGGCCATGGAGGGAAGAATGATTGTCTCTCTCTCTCTCTCTTTCTCTCTCTCTCTCTCTCTCTCTCTCTCTCTCCCCCTCTCTCTCTTCCTATGCATGTGTGTGTGTGTGAGGGGGTTCTCCCCTCCTTACCATAGCCCTTCAAATAAATTTTAAAATATTTAATAGGGCAACTAAAATTATAACATATTGGAGTCAGCACAATGATGTAGCGAATAAGGTTGTTAACTACAGAACCAACATCTCAAAGCATGCCAAGTCCTGACTGCTCCACTTCTTATCTGGCTACCCACTTATGGCCTGGAAAAGCAGAAGATGGCACAACAGCTTGGAGTTGAGTACTCAGGTAAGAAACTTCTGGCTCCTGGCTTTAAAGCAGTCCAGTTCTGTCCACTGCGGATGTTTAGAGCATGAACCAGCAGATGAAAGATCTCTGTCTCTCCCTCCTTCTTAATCCGTACCTTTGCCATTCAAATAAACAAACAAATCTTTAAAATAAAAAACAGGTTGTATTTGTCAATGAACAAGTTAAATACCCCATCTCTATCTGTCTGTCTCTAAAATTACATTTTAAGAACAGATTTTCAAATTATTATGTATTTTGACCCCTAGCTCTCAAGCCTATTTGTAAAATGAAAACCTTAAGAAATGCTATTATAAATAGGTTATTAATGTTACATAAATACCTGACCTCTTAAATTCTAAATTTCTGGTAAATAGAAGTCATACTTCAATGCTTTAGAACTACATTTTGCACATTTGAGGGATGATTAAGAACTATAAGAAATCTTTGAAAATATTCTCAAATATTCTAAACATCTCTAATCCTTTTGCATCCAAAGGCATGTTAAACATGTTGTGAGACAGCTACTTGCAGAATTTTTAAAACCCACTATTTTTGAGTTAAACAATGCTAGTAAATTAAATGAGAGATATAAAGCAATTTTTCCAAGATGAAAACAATGGAAACATTTGGAGATACTGATCTAGTCAGCAAAGTTTTTATGATGCTTACTAAATACAGCATTAAGATAGATAATCTGGGTTTTCTAGCACCATATAGTAAAGATGTTTTTCAAGTGCAAATTCAGTCTTGTTTGAGAGGAAATGCTATATAGATGAAAAACAGATCTTTGTTTCTCGAAGAGCAAAAAATAGAATGTGGTAATCTCTTTCCTCGAGGAATACACAAGTATATTCACTCTTGTCTAGAGGATAAAAACTGGAGTTGGAAAATTATTTCTAGAAGATGTTAATTTAAGCAGAACTTTTAAGAATAAATTGAAAAAAAAGACTAAAAGGAAAAGTATCTTCTTATAAAATGTGACTTTCCCAGGAATGAGAAGATGCTGTTAGTGTGGAAGAGCTGGAGTTAAAACCAGGATGGTTCCAGGCACGCTGAGACAGTTGCTCAATCTTTTCTGATATAAAAGAACAATCTGATTGAAAGTTAAAAGAAAATGCAGATAATTGGAAATCTTAGGAGTTGCAAAGTTCTGGTCTGGACATAAAGGAGATATGTAGTCAATGAAATCATAGGAAGCTAGTCTTTTTAACGTGCACTGCGTGCCACACAATAGAGCTTGAAGGATAATCCTAAATCAATGGACAGCCACTAATGGATTTTGCACAAGAATGAAATGTAATGATTTGCCTTTGAAAAGATCCTTCTCACTGCCCTAAGGAAGATAAATCAAGAAGCTAAAACAGAAGGAAAGTGACCTGGTTAGGAAGCCACAATATTAATTCTTAGAAAGAAACAAGAAACATGACCACTGTAATAAGGATGTAGAGAGGTGATAAATTCAAGAGCCATTTAAGTCAGAATGGTAGGATTTAAACACTTATACATTGAGGACCTATAATTACTCCCATGTTTCTGATTTAGTAGCTCAACAGATGGAGGTTTCATTCATCAAGAATGAAAATATAAAACGCAGGCTTAGGTACAGACTTTTGGAAAGAGAAAGATCATGAATTCTATCAAACTTGATGAATCTAGGAGCTCCACATAGTGTCTTTATCAAAGTAGTAAAGGTTGAATATTTTCGATATAGTTCTTGTGCCCTGATTGAATTTTTAATTGGAAATATTTGTAAATGGATAGCATATAGGTAGCAAAGTGAGGAAATAATACTAACACAAAGTAAGATTAAAAATGGTACAAAAGGAAGAGAAATCCATGAATATAGAGGTTTACTTGAAAAAAGAGAACTAAGGTGGACTGTTGTCAAGGAACAAAGATAGGAAAAAGTTTCAAGAAGAAAGTAATTGGTCAGTGTATGAACCAAGGTTGTCCAAAGAAAAAGGATGAATACAAAAGACAGATGACAGAAAAAGAGAGAGATAGAAACTTTCTTGCATTTGCCACCCGATGCACAGAGAAAGCCAGTGGGAGTAATTCCCAAATTCAACAGCTGATAGCCAAGAATGCCAATGACGTAAGTTCTACTTCAGGCAAGAGACCCGTCTCCAGATCAAAGGTTCAAACAATGAGTTCCTTCCTTTTACTTTAAACAAAACGTGTATCTCCACTGAGAAAGACAGTCAGGTTCCTTCAATCTATCAATTCAGATATCAAACCCGTCTAGAAACAACTCCACAGACACACACAGAAACAATGAAGATACCCTGAGACCTGGTCAAGTGAAAACAAAAGATCAACCATTCCAGGTCCTGAAGCTTCAGAGGAGTACATAGAATAAGACTGAAAAGTATTCTTTAAGCTCAGGAACTCACAATTAGAAAATTTATCCAGAGTAGTTTTATTGTAGAAATGGAGACTAAGACTTTATGATAGTAAGAGTTTCAAAAACAGGTAAAATTATGGGGTAATCTTTTAAGAAGCTTGATAAAACCAGTATAACATCTGGCTCCCGCCTCAAAAACATGACACTACTGAAAATTAACAGTCATCTATATTCTGCCAGCAAGCTCAGCAATCTTAGGCATCCCCTAACACTTAAAAAAAAAAAAAAAACTTTTGGCCATATAATTCTGCAATCAGTAAAACATGCTCAGCGAGAAACTTAAAAAAGAAAAAGAAAAATGCTACCAAGTTTGCATGATATAAATGTAGAACTGTTTCTCTACTTGCAGGAGTTACAGTTACATTGTAGGTTGAATATATAAAGTAAAAATGCATTTAACACACTCAACTTACAAACTCAACAGTATTGAGCTTTTACCCTCATTAGCATGTGACTATCACACAATATGGAACTG